TCTTGATGAGTGTAACATTGGGATGAGCTTATATCTTTAAAAATATCATTAGTGAACGAGATAACAATGTAAGTTCTTATTTATTGACATTTTTAAAGATATAAGCTCATCCCGGTGTTACACTCATCGAGATCTTTCATTTGAGTACCCACATGGCATTTTTTATATATTTTGTATATATGGTATTTGTGAAATATATAAATATACAAAATATATGAAAAATTGATGTGGGTACTCAAATGAAAGGTCTTGATGAGTGTAACATCGGGATGAGCTTATATCTTCAAAAAAGTCAATCGTTCACGAGATACAAGGTCATTTCTCAATTATGTATGTAGAGATAGATCATTTTCGAATGCAGCCTAAATTCTTATCATCATAAATTGACTATTGGTGAGAATGATATGAAACCTTGAAAAGGCACAACTCCAAGTCAAGACCTTTCTAATGATAACAAATTTAACCATAGAAAACCCATTTTATCATGTAAATACACTGGCCACAAAAATTTTCTTCATTTAAATTAAAAGGTGTAAACAATTTTTTAGATTTCCAGTCGGATTCGAAAGCAGACCAAGTCGTCACAGACGATTAGCGATAATGCTGTACCGCGAATTCGGCGGATTGATATTAAAGCCCAGCCGAGGAGTCGACGGTCTCGGACCGACGTTAAATGAAATCTGGAATAGCGGCCGGAGATTAATTATTTGCTACGGCGACAAGCACACCGTAAATGGTACAAAAAGCTCGCGGTTTATTAATATTATAATTTTGTAAATAATAAATTAAAAGGGTTGAGGATTCGGAGATTGTTAATGAATATTATATGGTGAATTTCAGAGTTTGACTGGCTGTGGCCGCCGTTAACACAAGTTTGGGGTAATCAACAAACAGCCCAGGGTCTCTTTGAATACCTAAACAGTGTGATAATGGGTCCAGAGAGAAAGCCAAGAAATACGCTAAATCCTCTTTGGGCTATAATGGCCGAGCTTACACCACGACCTTTTGATATAATATTTAATCCGAACGGCGCTGGGCTTAGACAGATGGCAGATGCCGTAAATCGGAATCTTTCCAGTTTATTTCAAAATGAATGGTGGAAGCAGACTAATATAGTAGCGACAGACTTTTTCCTCGGTAATAATCTCATCCAAGTGTCCATTCAGTCCAACATTAAGAAAAGTAATATTGCTCAATGGAGCTTTTCATAATTACTCCTGATAATTATTTATTTTATAATACTTATTTTTATTTATTTATATATTTATCTATTCGTATATTTATCTATCTTGACAATTAAATCTGTACGATAAATCGTAATTAATAAATAAAATTTAAATAAAAAAATTTTATCATAAATATTAATTTACTCATATAAGCATTAAGAGGACTAATGTTAGTTTAATTAAATTTGGGGATGGAAAGTAACAAAGTTTTTATGTAAAGACTGTACTTAACAAATAAATAATAAATAAAAAAAATTTATCGTAAATATTAATAAGTTTCTTGAAAAAAAATCGAGCAAGGAGTATTTGTTTTTTTTTTTTGTTGAGATTTGAATTTAAATTCAATTAAATTATTATGATTTAAAACTATAAACAATTTTTTTTTAATGACTATCGCAAAAAATATTGCATGAGATAATTATAAAGAAATACACGCTCGAGAAGATAAGTATGACATTTAATTATGTAAGCGTTTTTTTTCTACTCATCTCATCGAGTATATTATATATTACATTATACATCGATCGTAAGAAATATTGCATGAGTGTTCAATATCATTCAAGTTTATGTATAAGTGTCACATATAATACGGTAAAGTCTATTTGTGTGAATGAATAATTTAATATAAATAAAAACATTTATATAAAAGAATTCTAGAACTTGAATCAGTGTGTATTAAGACTTCGCACGCGTATAGTGATTAATTTATTTACGCTACAAATAAAAATGATACCTGATTACATTCGTGAACAAAATTTCCGCGTTTTCGCGTGGTGGTCAGTTGTTTTGGTGCTGAAAATTTTCGGCAGCGTCGCGTTGGTTGGTTTTTGGCGACATTATAAAAAAGTACGTATTATTTTTTGTAATTATTACTCCAGAAAATTTTTTATACTGATAATATTAATATAATTTATAGATTTTTTTGTCGCCAGAAGACGCAAAGTTTATAAAAGGCTCTAAAGTTGTGTACGACGATCCGGATGTCGAGAGATGTCGTCGAGCGCATTTAAATGACTTGGAGAATATTCTACCTTGGGTAATTTCCACGGCCTTTTGGCTCACTACGTCTCCAGATCCTTCTACTGCGGCATTTCTTATTAAAACATTCGCTATAAGCCGCTTTGTTCATACGTTTGTTTACGCGGTTGTCGTTGTTAGACAGCCTGCTAGATTTTTGGCTTTTATGGTCGGGCTTATTATTACTATATACCAATGTTTAGCGACAGTGTATTATTACTCCTAATTTTGAAGCCTACAAGTCAAAAAATATTCAGAAACATTATTTAAAAAAAAATTTACTTGAAAGAAATTTTTTTTTTAATAATTTTCTGAGCCAAAAAAATTTATTATAAAGTTAAGAAATTTTTCTTTCTATGTATCAATAATAATAACTAGCAACCTTGCAGTCACTATGTGACTGCCGTGACTTGTGAACTATAAATGAATAAAATATTGCTTTATTAAATAATGACTTTTTTAATAATGCACTGTACTTTCTTAACTATTGACGTTTTCAAAGATATAAGCTCATCTCGATGTTACACTCATCAAGAGCTTTCATTTGAGTACCCACATGCATTTTTGATATATTTTTCATATATACATATATATAATACATATAAATATATGAAAAATTGATGTTGGTACTCAAATGAAAGGTCTTGATGAGTGTAACATCGGGATGAGCTTATATCTTAAAAAATGTCAATAGTTCACAAAATACAACATCCTGGATACAAAATTTTTCTTATTCTCTTAATAATATAGATAATTTAACACTATTTTACCCTGCATATTTGTAATATATAACGCAATAAAAACGATTCTATTTTCTGAGAAAATTTATCAGAGCAATAATTTAAAAATTTACCGTTTTTTATTAACTCCAAAAATTTTCTAAACCACTAGTAAGCTTTTATTGAAGAAAAAAAAATCATATATATATACATAAGCGAGAGGGCGTAGCCACCTAGCGGCAAACCCAGAACTAACTTCAAAGTTTTTTTCTGACTTAAACTTATAACATTATAAATAAAAAAATTTGTTCTTGAATCAACAAGCAATAATTCTTGAAATGAAATATAATTATTCTTCATTGAAGAGAATCCTTTTTGAATAAAGAATTCACTTGTATCGATCGAAGATAATATAGTCTTGAACCAAATAAAAATGTTATCGATCGGATTGATTAGATCTCTTACTCCTAGAAACATGAAATCAAGACAAGAATTTCTTGAAATAAGACAACTAGTTCTCTTCAAAATAATTTTCTTGAAGCTAGAATATTTTTCTTGAATGAAAATATTTTTTTTATCACTGTACTTTATTCACAATTTCAATTATAGTTCTTCCCCGCTTCAATAATTGGTTCTAAATAGTTCTTCAATTATGAAATTAATTTGAAAAAAGTGTGTTCCCTATATATACCTTGGTTAGAAATTTCTGGCAGCGAGAAGGCGTAGCCACCTAGTGGTGAAACCAGAAACTAACATTAATTTTTTTTTATTTAGAGCAAGACAAGAATTCTTGAATCAAGACAAAGTTCTTATTATTATTATTATTTATTAAACCAGAAAAAATTACAGACCATCAATACAACTTGTGACGTTATAAATATAATTACTGAAAAACAAATACAGACCTAAATACAAGTGCAAAAGCATGTCTTAGACGTTATAAACGATATTTTTCTTCGAAAAGATGGTTCAACCATGGTCGTTATGAGCGATTTGTCGTTATAGGTGATGACGTTATAAACAGTTTTAAGCTTGAAGGTTTTATATTGCATTAAGACGGGACTTTGAAATTTCGTCGTTATACCCGGTTCGTCGTTGTAAGCGATGTCGCTGTAAACGGTTTTGACTGTATTAATTTCTCAATAAATATCTCGGTAACTGATATATTTTATTGCAAAAAAAGAAACCTGAATATTTCGAAAATCTAATTTTTAGTTTTTTTTTTACTTCATCTAATCCATGACTGATAGTATAATTCAAGAAATACTGCAAACGTCTGACTTTCTCGTAAGACTCTGAACAAATACTAACATTTAAAAATTTTATTTTTTCAAAAATTTGTCCGGTAAAGTATAATTTAAACCTCACTATTAGATAAATAAAGACCTTAACTATTAGAAAAAAAAATTGAATTTACTCATAATCTAATATTTTTTATTTTACATTGGCGGCGAAAGAACCTCCTTAAGTTACGCTCAAACTAGCTTTTAATATATAGCATATAGTGTAGATATGTCTGCCGTGTAACAGGCAAACAGCAGCAACGTATGAAGATTTGTATTTATTTTAATAGTAATAATAATAATTAAAAAAATATATCAGCAAGGCGAATTTTATACGTGTAAATATTTATAAAAAATATATCCCGAAAAAAAATGGACCTGACGGATAAAAATATTGAGGATTCTTTTGAAAAATTTGGAGCCTTGTATGCTTGGTCAACGAGTATTTTCATCTTCCAACTGCTGGCTTTGACGTGGTTCACTGGTCGGATACGCGTGAGGACTCAGGTAAATATTAATATTAAAAAATTTTTAACTTCCCGCTAAAAATCTCAGATTTTCAAAAATCGGGAAGTTATTGTTTTCATCCCGTTTTGCAAAAATCGAGTTTTCATCAGATCTCGACGTTTTAAGGTCATAGTAAGCTTTCCTGACTACCCTCGCGGTGGTGTCCGTATGTGTGTGTGTGTGTGTGTGTGTGTGTGTGTGTGTGTGTGTGTGTGTGTGTGTGTGTGTGTGTGTGTGTGTGTGTGTGTGTGTGTATGTATGTATGTATGTATGTATGTATGTATGTATGAACGGCTTAATCGATTTGATCGCGGTTGGTGCCATTCGAAAGGGCTTCGCCAAACTTAGATTCCCTGTTAATTTAAATCGATTCGGACCGATAGATTTTGAGAAATCGTAAAAAAACTACAAAAAAAA